GAAACAATCTTGCCAGCAAGTGCGTTTAGCGTCACGAATGACACGGCGAGCGGCCGCACGCTTCTGCTTAAACTCAAGAAGTCTCTCAGCGGTTCTATTGTACTGGTACCTGCCCCATGCAGCGTGTTTCAAACGTACTGCACGAGCACAAGCAGGAAACCACCAAGGCACGCACTTCTGAGAATGCCTGCCCGAGGTTTGGGGTATAGATTGGGAAGCTGCGGTTAAAACTGAGGACGAGAAGAGGTGTAAAAGCTCATCAATGGAGGACAAAGAAGGAACCTCACTAAAAGTAGTTAGTGAGTAAAGGTCCCAATTTGCCTGATAAAATTGCCAGCGTGGGCTACGGAGAGGTGGTGAATATGAAGGAGAAGTAAGAATGATTGGAAAATGATCACTGTCATGTAAGTCCGAGAGAACAGACCAGGTGAAGTCTAGTGCAGTAGAGGAAGAGCAGACTGAGATATCAATGCAAGAGAGTATAAGTACTAGGATCAAAATGGGTTGGAGTACCTGTATTTAAAACATGGAGGGGATGGGAAGCAAGAAAAGCCTCCAACTGAATGCCATGGGAATCACAGTGAGACCTCCCCAGAGGAAATGATGGGCATTAAAATTAGGGCCGAGTAACAGAAGTGGTGGCGGTAGGGACGAAACAAGAAAGGCAACATTCGGGATAGAAAATGTAAGTGGATACGGGCTGCTGTGTAATGCAGTGAAGTACGTACAAATAGCTGATGGTACGGAATAGTGCGCAGAAGAAGGGCACTTTCATTAACCCTTTGAGGGTCGACAGGCCCTCTCCGAAACTCGTTCTCAGGGTCGGCCAAATTTAAAAAAAAAAAAAAATTATTTTCTCTTATGAAAAGATAGAGAATCTTTTCCCGATCATAACGACACCAAAAGTTTGAAATTTGATAGAAAACTTACGGAATTATGCTCTCGCAAAGTTAGCAGTCTCGGCGATGTTTACGGATCGGCGATTTTGCCCACTTTGAGCCCCATTTTCGGCCAATTTCACTGTACTAGTCGACAAAAAACATGAATATTTCGCTAGAACTCCATTTTTTCTATCGAATGGGTGCAAGAAAACCACCCATTTATAAATTCAACTATCCAGTACAGTGGTCAGAATTTAGCAATTTTGCCAATTTCACACAAATTTCAAAAGATGCCAATTTCGGAATAGGGTCCAGAATAAACAAGAAAGACATTCCTGGCACTAAAATGACATTTCCTCTAGTCATTAGTCACGTCTCAAGGCCCCTCTTATATTCTTTTGCTTTCCACTTTGAATTTTTATTCTCACAAAAAATATAAGATTTACTGTTATGCAGACTACTGCATTAGTGTAAAAAATGGTATAAATATTATTGGTGCACTTGTGAAAGAATATTAGACTCACCAGTTGACGTGTATTGCACGCTTGGCACGATTTGTTTACTTTTGAAATTTGGTAAAAATCGAACATTTCTGCTACTTTGAGCTCAATTTCAAGGCACCTTTCATTGTAAAACCAGTCAAAATCATCTCAATTTCAGTAATATGTCTTCCATTCTATAAAATGAGACCAAGAAAACTAGAATACAACAATAAATACTATACGAAAATACACTGCAAAGTCGCTGATTTATTAAAAAAAAATGGAAAAAGTTTTTTTTTTCTCATTATGCACCGTGTGCTGCAGGATTTTTTTTAGACTGTGCACACTGACCACATAGACCCATTCTTTCATATGAAGGCCTACCAGCTTTCTCCCACTAGATTTGAGGTCGCTAGAATTTATGAGTACTAGTACGTCAAAAACCCCTACGCGTAAGACGTACTAGTACGACGAAAACCCTCAAAGGGTTAAAGGTCCCATCACTAAAAGGAACCGAAGAATACAATAAATTATAGCCTGAGATGGGATAGGTAACTGCAGAGTGTAATTTTGGTTCTTGTAAGCAAACACCAATAGGGGAAAACTGGGAGAGCAACACCTGAAGCTCACCTCGATTACCCCTGAGGCCGCGTATATTCCACTGTAAATAGGCCATGATTGGCAATGATAAAGATACCAAAAATCCGCAGGTAAGGGTACCTACGGACTAGAGGGGTTAGAAAAGTCCACATGCGGCAGTAGCGGAAAACGTTCAAGCAGCGAAGGAACGGTGCGCTGCGAAGAAAGGAGTTGCGCAGATGGAGGAGAGGAAAGAGAAGGAACAGGGGGTGGATCAATGTCCATTGATGGTTTGGTCTCTGCAATATATTCAGAGATAGCTTCAAGTGTTTCGGAATTCAAAGACGTCGCATGGGAGACAATATTGGAGATGGAAGGAGGAGGGCGAGTAAAAATTGAAACCGTAATGGACTGTACAAAAGTAGGGGTGGACAAAAGGGTGGAGAGAACTGGAGAAGTGTGGGAGGGGACTGAAGAGGCAGAAACCTGGGAGGTGGCAGAAGAGGAAGAAACTGGGGAGGGGACAGAGGAGGAAGGCACAGCACGAGGAGGGTGAACCTCCACACTTGTAACAGAGCCAGTGAGAGGGAAAGAACTAGGTACAGAGACCGGGAAGGTAAAATTTGGAGGTGGAAGAAGTGAAGGAGAGGTTAAAGAAGATTTGAGCAATGGAGATTTTTTGGACTTATGAAAAGTAGAGGGACGATTGGGAGGTGTCGTATGAAGTCTTGTTGATACCGGGGCCTGCGAGGGAGAACACGAAGAAGTGAGAACAGACTGAGGTGTTGAAGTAGGGACTTCTGAGCCAAGGACAGCAAAAGAATTAGAGACAGAAGTGACTATGGGAGGGGTAACCACAGAGGAAGTTGAAGATGGGACCGCAGAAGTGGGGGGGACATTTAGCAACACGAGAATAAGAAATACGAGGCAGCCTCCCTTGGAGGCGCAGTTGAGAAACTGCCATAGAATAAGGGAGACCTTCAGCTTCTTTGAGGCAATGGATTTCTCGCTCATTTAAGTAGACCTGGCAAGGGCGAGAGTGAGAAGGGCGAGCCTCATGACAATTAAGGCAAGAGGGAGATCGACTACAAGACATATTAGAATGGTCATCAGCACCACAGACTGGGCATTCAGCTACAGATCTGCAATATTTTGCAGGGTGACCAAATCGCCAGCAGTTTCTACACTGTTGTGATGTAGGGATCACCTTTTGAAAGTGTAAATGATGTTCTGCTACATAAACAGAGGATGGGAGTTCACAGCTGTCGAAAGTTAATCGAGCCACATTGCAAGGGTAACGTCTCCGCCCGCGGGCAGGAAGGACCTAAGTGTCTACTTTGAGGATTGGGAGATCTTGGAGTTCCAGCTGTTCAAGAATGTCATTGCCACATGTCTGGAAATTCTGTTGGATTATGGTATGAGGCAGAATAACAGTACCACTACAAGAATTGAGGGAATGATGTTTTTTGATAGTGACGGGAATAGTATCGATATGTGAAAGAAGAGAAAGATCACGAGCTTGGGTGGCATTCTGGACAGTGATGATGCAGGTACCGCTCTTGAGAGCGTGAAAGGAGGAAATATCTCTACCAACATAGCCTAGGAGCGCCTTGCTAATACTATGGTCGGAAAGATAGGCAATAGAGGAAGTCGGTCGTAAAGAATTTAGTCCATTGTGCATTCCGAAACTGAGCGTGGAAAGGGAGAGCACGACATGTCGATCTTTTCTGAGTAGAACGAGGTGGCAAAGAAGTATCATCAAGCAATTGTCGTTGGCGTTTAGGAGTGGGACCGGAGTTGGTCCGACGTGGGACGGGCTGGCAATTCGAAAATTGACGCACCGTAGAGGGAGAGGCCGGAAGCCTAGTCAAAGGATACACAAATTACCCGCACATAGAAGAGAGAAGTTTACGACAACGTTTCAGTCCGACTTGGACCATTTACAAAGCCACACTAACCAGAAGTGGAGCAGGACGGCTATATATAGGCAGGAAGAGGTAGTGGTGGTGGTATAAGTAGTAGTAGTGGTAGTGGTAGTAGTGGGGAATTTATAGTCAAAGAAGAGCGGAGGTCAGACAAATCAAAGAAGTCAGTCGAAACCCCGGCAACTCAAGGGGGTGATGAAACAGCACCAGCAAGAGGTACAGGGCCCTTAGGAGTGTCCGAAGAGTGGTCAAAAGACGAGGCGAGGTCAGAATGGGGTGCAGTAACAAGAAGGGGCCTGGGGATAGTGGGGTCATGGATTGGGTCCTCCATGGTTAGGTTACTTCTTTCTTTTTGTTTTTAAGAAAAAAAAAAGAAAAAAAAAAAGAATAAAAAAAAGGGGGGGGGGGGGGCAGGAAAGGATAGTTCCTAGGAGGAATGAAAGGGCCAGAAATCTCCCTCCGCGCCCAAGAGGACCTCAGCACCACAAGTAGCGCAGATGCGGAATGGAACCCGTGCCATACCCTACCCTTTATGCCAGTAAACCAGCAATCCAGGATAGCAACCTCACATCTGCCGAGCTACCTCGGCAGACAAAAGAGAGGGCGGCCGGATGTCCGCCACAAAGCATATCTCCTTTGGCCACCACCCCCGGAATCCAAAAGGTAACCTCCAGAGATACACCCGTAGCCTGAAAGACACCCAAAGCCACCCCTCGAGAGACCGGAGAGGGATTGGGGCATCCCCAGGCGATCCAGATTCCACGGCAAACTACACCACCACCAAGAACCTCAACGGAATGGGATGGACCCTGGTACCCTTTCCCCTACCCAGGAACTAGCTTGCCTGTGGGAAAAATCCCAAAGGCCAAAAAGAGGAAGGGCAAAAGGGAGGGGGGGAGGAGGAGGAGGAGGAAAGGAAAAAGGGAGGATGGGATAGGGAAGGGGGGATTGGGGGGTAATTAGGTTTGGTCTGAGGAAGGAGACCAACAGGTCTAATTCCTCAGACCAAGAGCCTCTTCACCACGCCAAGGAGCCCCCCAGCCCCCCTTGAAGAGGTTAACTTGGAAATATTATTAGCATTATCATTAAGATTGTATACAGTTTTTCTTTATTTGATCAAACTTGCTAATTACCTTTTTACCAATTATGGTAATTAATTCCTTGTCTTCATCTTTGTCTGTTGGGAAAATGATGCGGGCTCCAGTGGCATCACGAATCTTGCGGATGTTAGCTCCACTTCGGCCAATCAGGAAACGATGATGTTGCTGCTTGGCCCGCACCTGGCATGATGTGGTCACACATTAGATTGAAACAAACAAATTTAAGATAATTAGAAAGATTGTTTTTTTTTTTGTTAAAAACTCTTTGAGGCTCAAACCAACAACACTTAAGAAGTGAAGGGATTAAGGAAAACCAGTTAACCAGTGGGAAGCACAGTGCCTGCACTCTGAAAGAAGGTTAAGAGAGATTTGCTGTTTGGAGGGGCAACTCAACTTTTTTTTTTTTTTTTTTTAAACATAGGGTTTGACAAGGTTAAGGATCCCTAGCTTTATTGACAAGCTATTTGCAGGTTAAGGATTCCTTACTCTATTGGCAAGCTAAGAGCTGTTACCTACATCAGCTCATTTGAAAGTATTTTTATTGTTATGAGACATACAAGTAGGGAACAGGATGAAGTCGGAGCCATCTGTGGGCCAGAATTTTCATTTGATCAACTATCTCATTAACATCATTATGCTGTACGAATGTGTGCCATACTCAAGTCATCCTGGGTATATATGATCTCAGATGGAGTGATGTTCTGGAGAAGGGTACAGCCAGAGTGAAGTTGCTGCTTTCTGCCCATCTTGTGGCATAAAAGCTTGTTTCACACGGTCCTCGAAGTGGATCCAAGTGTGGTACTTTTGACAATATTGGCCTTGTACATAACAGTAAGGCCACCCACATCCCTCCTGTGTTGAAGGCTCTGCTGAAATGACAGATCTATCCAGGATTGGTCCAGGCGAGAGACGAGACGTCTTGCTCTGTTCTCTACTCTGTCAAGCAGTCACAGACGAGAGGGAAGGAGGCATGCCTCTGAATACCATAGGAAGGTGTAGAAATATACCTAGTTGGATTACTCTTATTGTGGCTAGGTGGTTCAGTGGCTAAAGTGACGGTCTGAAGTTTTGAGACTCTCTGATCGAGGGTTCTATTCCCACCAGAGGTATGGTTTTTTTTTACCACCTTTCATTCTAAACATTGCCTAATGCTCTTCCTTATGTCTGTAAGATATTAAAATACTGATATACAATATGGGCAAGATGATTAATTATAAATGTGCAGTAGAGCCTAAGGTAATGAACATTGACTTCTAGGCTGAGGGACTGATTACCTTATCTTCAGCTGTCTTCTACGTATAATTCTGCAAGGCTAAGGGACAGATTATCTAATTTTCTAGTTTTTGTATATCATCTCTGTATAGAATTGAAAAGTCACTGGTTGGTGAGACATCCTTAAATTAAGATACCCACATGTTGCATCTTCCGAATTCTTCACTCCTCCTTGCCTAATGCATTAAATTACTGCCTGTCTTTCTTCAACAACATTCAACAGCTTGTAAAAATATCCCCTCCATCTAACGAGGGAGGGAGTATGGAAGAAGTGAATCTTTCTTTCTTTCAACACACTGGCCGTATCCCACCGAGGCGGGGTGGCCCAAAAGGAAAAACGAAAGTTTCTCCTTTTACATTTAGTAATATATACAGGAGAAGGGGTTACTAGCCCCTTGCTCCCGGCATTTTTGTTGCCTCTTACAACACGCATGGCTTAAAGAGGAAGAATTCTATTCCACTTCCCCATGGAGATAAAGAGGAAATAAACAAGAACAAGAACTAGAAAGAAAATAGAAGAAAACCCAGAGGGGTGTGTGTATATATATGCTTGTACATGTATGTGTAGTGTGACCTAAGTGTAAGTAGAAGTAGCAAGACATACCTGAACCCTTGCATGTTTATGAGACAGAAAAAAGGACACCAGCAATCCTACCATCATGTAAAACAATTACAGGCTTTCATTTTACACTCACTTGGCAGGACGGTAGTACCTCCCTGGGTGGTTGCTGTCTACCAACCTACTACCTGAATGTGTTCAGATATTTGAGAGTAGATTTGCCAGCAGATGGGTTTATGAAGAATGAGGTAAACTATAGAACTGATGAATGAAAAAAGGTGGGTGGTTCACTGAGGTATCTGTGGAGACAAAGAATGTCATCCATGAAGGCAAAGAAGGAAATGTACGAGAGTATAGTGGTAACGACATTCTTATATGGGTGTGAAGCATGGGTTGTAAATGCTGCAACGAGGAGGAGGCTGGGGGTAGTGGAGATATCATGTCTAACTGTAATTTGTGTAAATATGCGTATGATAGAGTGGATAGAGGAGCAATGTGGTAGATGTTGCAAGTATATGGAATAGATGGTAAGTTACTAAATGCTGTAAAGAGTTTTTATGAGGATAGTGAGGTTCAGGTTAGGGTGTGTAGAAGAGAGGGAGGCTACTTCCCAGTAAAAGTAGGTCTTAGACAGGGATGTGTAATGTCACCATGGTTGTTTAATATATTTATAGATGGGGTTGTAAAAGAAGTAAATGCTAGGGTGTTCAGGAGAGGGGTGGGATCAAATTATGGGGAATCAAATTCAAAATGGGAATTGACACAGTTACTTTTTGCTGATGATACTGTGCTTATGGGAGATTCTAAAGAAAAATTGCAAAGGTTAGTGGATGAGTTTGGGAATGTGTGTAAAGGTAGAAAGTTGAAAGTGAACATAGAAAAGAGTAAGGTGATGAGGGTATCAAATGATTTAGATAAAGAAAAATTGGATATCAAATTGGGGAGGAGGAGTATGGAAGAAGTGAATGTTTTCAGATACTTGGGAGTTGACGTGTCGGCGGATGGATTTATGAAGGATGAGGTTAATCATAGAATTGATGAGGGAAAAAAGGTGAGTGGTGCGTTGAAGTATATGTGGAGTCAAAAAACGTTATCTATGGAGGCAAAGAAGGGAATGTATGAAAGTATAGTAGTACCAACACTCTTATATGGATGTGAAGCTTGGGTGGTAAATGCAACAGCGAGGAGACGGTTGGAGGCAGTGGAGATGTCCTGTCTAAGGGCAATATGTGGTGTAAATATTATGCAGAAAATTTGGAGTGTGGAAATTAGGAAAAGGTGTGGAGTTAATAAAAGTATTAGTCAGAGGGCAGAAGAAAGGTTGTTGAGGTGGTTTGGTCATTTAGAGAGAATGGATCAAAGTAGAATGACATGGAAAGCATATAAATCTATAGGGGAAGGAAAGCGGGGTAGGGGTCGTCCTCGAAAGGGTTGGAGAGGGGGTAAAGGAGGTTTTGTGGGTGAGGGGCTTGGACTTCCAGCAAGCGTGCATGAGCGTGTTAGATAGGAGTGAATGGAGACGAATGGTACTTGGGACCTGACGATCTGTTGGAGTGTGAGCAGGGTAATATTTAGTGAAGGGATTCAGGGAAACCGGTTATTTTCATATAGTCGGACTTGAGTCCTGGAAATGGGAAGTACAATGCCTGCACTTTAAAGGAGGGGTTTGGGATATTGGCAGTTTGGAGGGATATGTTGTGTATCTTTATACGTATATGCTTCTAAACTGTTGTATTCTGAGCACCTCTGCAAAAACAGTGATAATGTGTGAGTGTGGTGCAAGTGTTGAATGATGATGAAAGTATTTTCTTTTTGGGGATTTTTCTTTCTTTTTTGGGTCGCCCTGCCTCAGTGGGAGACGGCCGACTTGTTGAAAAAAAAAAAAATGTAAAAGAAGGAAACAAAGTGAACATAGAAAAAAGCAAGGTGATGAAAGTAACAAAAAGTCTAGGGAATGCCAGATTGAATATCAAATTGGAGAAAGTAAATATGGCTGAAATTAATGCAATCAGATATTTGGGAGTAGGTATGTGAGCAGATAGGTCTATGGAGGATGAAATGATCTACAGGATAGACAAGGGACAAATACGTGGTGGCATGTTGAAGCATCTGTGGAAAGAAAAATTATCAATGAAAGCAAAAATGGGAATATATTAGAATACAGTGATACCAACATTTAGAAGAATTATAATTCAGAGGACCAAGGAGTGCTTGCTGAGACAGTTAGGGAAACCAGTTAGCTGGACTAAAGTTAGTCCTGGAGGTGGGAAATACAGTGAATGCACTCTGAAGGAGTTTAGAGAAACAGTTTAGAGAAACATCTGAACTTAAGTATCTATGTGCCTCTGGCATGACAGTAATAGAGTGAATGATGGTGAAAGTGTCTTTTGGGGTCACCCTACCTCAGTGGGAGATGGCCAGGGCGGTTAAAAAAAAAAAAAAATACAGTGGCACCCCGAGTTTTGCACAGATCCCAACTCGAACAATTATGTAAGTGTATTTTTGGGGGTCTGAAACAGACTAATCTAACCTACGTTATTTCTTATGGGAACAAATTCGTTCGGTAACGGTACTTGAACAACCTTCTGAAATGAATTATGGCGGAAACTCGGGGTACCACTGTAGATGTCCCGCTTAATCCAAACTATATTCTTAATTCATTGTAAAAGTAATTAGCAATTATATGTCATGCTTACTGTCATCATAAATGTATTCCATAATCTTTAAATCTTGGGTATTTATAGAGAATGCATGTACTGATTTGGCTGTGAATAAATTATGCCTCAATGTAATCAGTGCTGTCTAACATTATTATTATATTTTGCACTAACCTTATTTGTGAAACTAAAGTTTCTTTTATCTGTTATATTGCAAATCATTATTTAAGTAGCAATTGTAACGAGTTTAACAAACTAGTACTAATGCTTTTTATCTCTATCCAACAATTAATTTTCAATTATAATGCTCATACTTTATACCAAAGATGTTACTTTACATTATATACTATAATCTACAAAAGTTTAAGGTTTTAAGATCAAATTTTTAAATAAACAAGTAGATGGTTATCCATTTCATACAAAGTTTTAAGGGGTTGAAATTTGAGAAAGCTGTATGCCTGCCACACACTGGCTTTTTCCCATCCAGTGCCCAATAAAAACACCGCAACTTTAGATTTTGGGGTTTCACTGATTTTAATTATTCCATGTTGGTAGTAAACTGCACAAAAAACTTTGATAAAAAATAAAGAAAAACTTTATGAAGGGACATGTAGCATGGCTTTTCAAGTACGTATTCTAAATTTTTTAAATGTAAATATTGCAGGTTAATTCCAGTGTTGGATTTAAAAATT